AAATATAAATATTTAAACAATTTTTGTGCAAAATTTTTCTGCACATGCATTTGAATATAAATTTCTGAGATTTTAAATCTGTTATTTTACCTTAATTTTAATTAAAAAATATTTTAAAACCTGCTGATTACCTATAGTATAATTAAATTTCAATATAATGCATGGCAACTGTTGGTAGTTTTGAAGTTTATATATTTTTTTGGCAAACTTTAGTTTTTGACATTTTTGACGGTTTAAACCATTATTATACCCTTGTCATGTCAAAAACCACTTTTTGACGTCAAAAACCCAACCCTGATATAAATATGTAATAAATATATCAAATTATATATTTATTGATTATTTATAAAATATCAAAAAATATACTTAAAATATATTAAATAATAAAATACTCAAAATATTATGTAAATAGATAATTAATGAAATTTAATTCAATATTTTTAAAATATAAATTAATCTAAAAAATGTCCCTTTAAGTTAATAAAAAATTTCATCGTTTTTAGCATGAAACATAGCAAATCAAAAATTAAATTAAAAGAAAACAAATAAAAAATACCTCCCAATAATCTTTCCATTAGAAAAAAGTAATATTTGACTTAGAGCAGATGAATATCTTTTCTCATAAATATGAAAAGACAGACCACTTCAATTTTTCTAAAACTAAAGAAAAAGAAAATTTTAATTTTTGAACCAAAAAATTACAATAATGAAACAATAAAAAGTATTGTTTTACTATAGGTTGCATATAATGACATAAACATAATTTGAATATACCATAAAAAAAATGCTAGAAAAGGAAACAGGAAGATCTAATCTTTAAATAAATTCCTCAAAATTAATTTTTTAAATTTTAAACATTTATAGCACTAGTAATGTGCAAACTTAACATTAATACCGAAAGAATTTATTTATATACTTATTACAAAAACTAAGATTTGAAACCTATTTAATTTATTAGAAATAAACTGACAAGAATAATTTAATGACAATTTGAAAAACAACTAAACAATAATTTGAATTCAGATATGTGTAGCATAATAAACAAAAATTGAAAGAAAGAAGGTACATAAAAATTTGATTTTTATAAAAATTACTTTCTCCCAATATCATTTTATGTACTTCCTATCTTAAAGAAAGACAGATCTTCATCTGTTAATTTAATTATTTTAAAATTAAATTGTTAAAAATAATGTTAATTATTTTAAAATTAATTTCTTTAATAACTATTGAAGAAATTTTATTAAGACTCATGTAAGATGATAGAGGAAAAAACTATACATTCTCACATTTCAACTAACACGTCAGTGGTAGATCAACCAAGCAAAGAAGCAAAATATAAGGCTATTTTTAAAAATATAGAATTTTCGCAATGTTTTTTTTTCTTTCAATTTCTTTAAAAATGTAAGATTTATTCAACAACTTCTATGCACCTGAAATAAACAGAATTCTGAAAGAAACCATTTAAAATCTTTTTAGTTGAATAATTATTTTTATTATAAATGATTAATAAGGTAGGATCCCATTTCAAACAATTTTGAATGTAAAAGTTTTAAAAATCTTATCCTATTTTATAATAATTATTTTAATCATATAATTACATTATCAATTACATACATTAACATATTATTACAAATTATTATACATTTAATAATAATAATAATCGATAATTTAAAAAAAAATAATAATTTTTGTTTAAATCAAATAATATTAAAAAATAGGAAGATTTTGGCATTTTTATCTGCGGCAGTAAAATTGCAGCAAGAAACTAAAAAACATTACATAAGGGGATCAATTCAAAGATTATAACTACATTTTCCTTTTAAAAAAGTTTGAAGCCCATTTTGCACTGTTAAGTTTTCACTTTTTTAACAAATTACATTTCAGGTGCATGTTTCCAATATGAAATAGCTATTACTCTTATTGACTTTGAAAGATTTTAATTTCATTTATGAAAAAAACTTTACATTGATGTTTAATGTAGGGTATTACAAATAAAGCATTATTTAATGCTTATTAAAACTGTTTCTTTAACTTTTTTGTGTAAGAAAGACATAAGACAAATAAAAATAAAAAATTTTTAAAAAAAGAAGAAAAAAAAGCAACTTTGAAACATTACTCTGTAAAATAGTCTAAAATAAACTATCAATATTTAAATACTTAACAGATTTTTCTAGGAAAACCACAAATATAAAATTTTCTTCACAACATAATCATAACTATTGATTATTGGAAAAATTTTAAAAGAAAATTAAACAAATAATTCTAACTACATTTCTGCTGTATACATATCAACGCTGTAACAGATTTTAAAATTATTACAACTCTATGAAAACAATGTAAATTAAAGTAAAAATTTGCATCGCATTTTAAAAAGGTCAACATTAAAATACGATGATACAACTTGATAAACACCTCACAACAGTTCCGCCAAAAATCAATAAAACCTAAGAAACTGTTTTGGCATCCAAACAGTATTGAACTTAAGATGGCCTTATATTATGTAAGAAACCATTTAAAGATGCACATAATTAAAATTCCAACCTAGGTTTTTTATTTGCGAAAGGCCTACCTGGTAGTGGCTGAGATGAGGTTGGTGCAGCGGTAGTTGCCATCTAATATTCACGATGACTTTGGTGTATTTATTGGCCTTACGCCACTTAAGGCCCAGGTATTTGAATGTGTAAACAATATCATGAAGGTATGTTTACAAAAAAAACAAAAATGAAATTTCATTCCAACATCCAAAACACTACGGCAGTCACCGTTGTTAAACGACAGTAGGGTTATCAGACGTAACTAACTAAATTCCATATTTGGCGAAAAGCTTTCTTCCAATGATTTCTCTAAACAGCTGGCGAACTTTTTGGCTATCTTATGGTCGGAGTGACGGGGGAAAAAATATTCCATTTGTTTCTCTAAGCATGGGTCACGGACTTAACTTTATATTTTGTTTTACTGTGCAAAATCCACAAGATTTAAAACGTTGAAGTTACTAGATGTGTGTTGAAAAGTGTACAGGGATTACGATGGAATTATTAAAATATTAACATTCGATAATTAGTTCAAGAATTACGAATTACGCAAGGGAACAATTTTATTTTTGTTTTCAACAGCAAGCAACTTTTTAACTGATCTTCGATAATTTCATATTGCTGCTTCCAAATATGCAATCTGTTTCTCTTTCTTTCTCCAAGTGTCAGAAAAATTATTTAAAAGAGAAAATAGCATTTTCCCCCTCAAGTGTAAGAGTTAATTAACTGGGGATCAAATTTTTTTATGGATTTATACAAAAATTTGATCTTTGCCTGATTTGATTGAGGGAATTTCATATCTGAAATTAATTTCGCACCAAGAGTTAGATTTTTTTATAAATGAAATTTTTAGTCAGTTTTGCCAGATTGGGCTACAAGTAGCGGATTGGGCTACTTTTAAGAGTCCCCGCTACTGAAAATCGAATTTTGGCTATCCGCTACTTTTTGGGCTACTCATTATTTTTCGAACGCTACAAATCTTAAAAATGCGCTACTTTTTTTAGAACAGAAATATTTTTTTCCCTTCCCATTATAAAATGATTCTGAAAAGTCTGCAGTTTCTTCGCCTTTTTTAAAAATGAAGCCTTTTTTTTTGTTGTTAAAAACGCATCTGCTTCAGTTGTGGATTCATGATTTGTTTTGCTGCTCGGAGTCTATTATCTTTCCATATCTATGCTTCAAATCATGAACTCGTGAAATCGAAAAGATATATGGGTGATTCTTTGGAAACATGACAATTCGGAGAAAAAAAATTTCTTCAAATTTCAAGTCTTCAAAATAATTTTTTTTTTTGTATATTTATTTAGTTGCATTTATTAATATCTTACAGATAGCAGTGTTGTTTATTGACATTGCTCAAGAAAAAAATAAAATAGAAATTCACCAAATTTTGAATGGCAGGAAAATGACTAGATGGCCAGGAAAATGACATATTAGCTTTGATGTTAAGAAAACAGTCATTTTAAGCTAAAAGTAAGTAACTCAACTTAAGAAACTCAAAAAAGACAAAGTTGAGAAGTTAATTTTAACTTTTTTATGTAAATAAATTCCAAAAATAATTGTTGTGAACAATTCTAATAAATTAGTTAAATATAATTAAAGTGAGAGAGTAACACACACATTGAGTTAGTTTTTAATTTTACTACACTTTAATTTGCAAAGAAATAGTTAAAACAAAGAAAACAAAAAACTTTGTAAAATTTCATTAATCTTGAAGCTTTCAGGGGAAATGCCTGGAAGATATTGGGTAAGAAGCAGACATTTTTGAATTTGTGACATTCTAAGAAATTCTGACACAGTCTTTTTTCCCTGGCCACTTAAAGTGATTAGCAGTCTGTTTGCCATCACGAATAATAAAGTTAACTTTAATATCTTTATGAACGACTACAAAAGCTTCTCCTACAGTAAAAATGATAATCTTAGGAATTTTTAAACTAATTTTATAAAAATTTACATTAAAATTAATTTTATAATAATTTACATCGGAAAATTTTTTATAATATTATTTAAATTTAAAATATTTCAAACCATTTTATTTTACCACTTTATTACATTTCTTAATTTATACACCCAAGAAGCGTTTAAAGACTATGACAGAAATAAATTGTACAGTGATGTTCTAAGTTTATCCTTTATATTTGTTAGCTATCTGCGTTTTGGAAGAAAAAAATAACCTAAAGCCTTTGCGTTAGAGATGAACCATGAATTGCTTAAATTAATTACTTTATCCACTGTAGAAAGAATCAAAAATGTTTGTTGTTGTTGTTGTTATGTACAGAATGAAATTATGTATCATTAAATAAATAAATAACTTTAGTTACATACGAGCATATTAAAATCTTTCATAAACTGGGTATTAGGTTAATATTTGCTTTCCCTCTCTTTACATTATAGTGTTTAAAAAAATTTCTTATAACTCTGTCATTTAACATTACTTTAATTAAAGATTTTGGCCTAAGACGTTTAAATTTCCGCAGGAAACATTGGGATTTCTTGAAATAACTAAGGTAAATGTAAATAGTCTATGTCATTAATAATTTCAAGAGGACAGGAAAATGACAGCATTAAAACCTTCTCAGCTTGTAAAATTTTTTGACTCAGAAAGTTGGTTCTTTATTCTTGTAATGAGACATGTTCTGATAGGAAAATATTCTAATAAATCTGCTAACCTAATATAATGATTGCTGGCGCTATCTATTTTGGTTATAAATTACTAAAAAAAGTGCCAGGAAAATGACGGATTTTCATGCGACAGACAAATTATTGACAGAAAAAATTATTTTCAACAAAGTTTTTGGGAATAATAGATACCCTCTGCATATATTCTAGAAATGCTTACAACGGTTCAGATGGAAAAAAATTGGATATTTAGAAACTTATGTGAAGTTTTGAAGCTAGTTATTATTGGAAATATTGTTTAAGACATACCAGGAAAATGACGTTTCGATATTCAATTAAATTTTTTAACTATACAAAACAGTCAATGCCAGTGCAAAGTCATTTTAAGATGCTAACAACAATGATATTTATTAATTTTTTTAAAAAAGTTCTTTTAGTAGTATAGTATTTGTTCTTGGAGCAAGAGACTCCGAATTGTCATATTTAGTGAGAATCGCCCATATATGGAAAAATGCACGAATAACATAGCATGATGGAAAATGATGGGAAAAAAATCTTTAACTCCAACCATTATTAATTGTTTATCTCCCAGAAAAATAAATCACGTGACCTTTAATCAGAGTTAAAACGAAATATTGATTTTGACTATTTAGTTGTTATATGATACAAAGGTTATAGTTGCATATTGTTAACAAGGAAAATGATTTTTCATTCATTGCTTCTCAGTGTGCCTCTCATTCTGTATTCCTAAGTTCAATATCTTTTTTCAAAGTACAGTTTAAAGAATAGCTGGATTTAAAAATAATTTCGTTCCGATTAACATAATAAAATGCTCTTACGTCGTATTATAATTATATATTTTATAAACAAAATGATAGTTTATCGGCTTTAAGAAAAAACTTAATATCAAAGAGGAATAACTGTTTATGCCAATAAAAGCAGACTTAGAAACAAATTTGTGCACGGACAGGAACTTTATTTCCACCACACGGCTTATCCTCACTCTATAATAACTCTTGGGGAGAACCAATTTGTCTCTATCATTGATTAAAAAAAACTTAAAAGGCAACAGATGACAATCCAAAATTATTGATATATTGTAGTTGTAAAAATAATTGATATAATCCTTTTCTCCTCCTCCCTTGATCTTCAATGATGAAAGAAGAAACCTCCAGGATTATGAGCTTAGCGAACTGGAGGTGGAGCAACCTAGTTTAATAAACAAGAACTATATAAATTCAACTTAGCCCTTTAGGATATGTAAAATTGTAGGGTCTGTTTGTAATAAATTTTAAAAAATACTTAGTCTAGAGTATTTTTTATGGAAACACTAAGTCAATTTGATACTTTAAAAAATTTAAATTTGTAAAAGTTGTTTAGATTTGAATAACTAAAAGGAACTCAAATCTCACTCATTTTACGAATGTTTGGAGAAAAAAAATTTCAGTTCGCGTTAAGTTTTTCTTAAATAACTGAACTAATGGTGACTTGTTTTAGAAATCTTATTTTTAAATAATCATTTTTACCAAACTCGTTTTAGATTTTGCTGTACAAAATTAGTCTTAAGACAATTGTGCGACATTTGAATAATTTCATTACTGTAAATAATTTCAATGCTATTTCATAATATAAGTTTATTGTATACAAAACTTTTCTATGTATATATATACCCGAAATAATATAATTACGTACAATGTCTCAGCCTACCGTCGTTAATCGATTCAAAGATTACTTTCTCAAGTTCGTCAGTTTTAACACCTACTATGCACGAAAATACTGTCTTGGGGCTATATAATGATTGTGTTTTCAAGTGATTAATATGAAAAGTTAGTTTTACAATCAATTGCAGTAAGACTGCTGAAAATAAATTTTCCTCAATTATAAACCAAATCTTTATCATTCTCTTTAAAAACAAACTTATCGAATCAAAATTTTAGAGCTTTTGTTTCAATTACTAAATTTAATGTGTGTACATTTTAAAATGTAATGAAGACTAATAATCTTTTAACACTTGAGCAAAGTAATTTCATATCATTGCATTGCAAGGAATTAATTTGCGCCGAGTATATTTTAAGTATTATAGACGCAATAAAATTTAAAAATTCGGATATTAAAATTGAAGGTAACCACAAACTGAAATATGGCATCACTCGTTTAGGTATACATGAAAGAGCGATCGAAAGTTAGGGTCATTTACACTTGTTACTCTAGTTGTATTTTTAAAATTCTATCCTGAAAGAACTCACAAATTTCCTTAAAATTTTGACTTTTATAATCATATCAATTAAGTTTGTGTAAAAATTTGTACTTACCTTACAATTCAAAGATTTTCAACCATTAGACAAAAAATCAAAGAATAACTTTAATGTCACTTAGACTGAACGTTCCCGAAAAACTAGGAAATTTCTCAAGAACAAAAATTACCTTTGAAATAAATCTGAGTAATCAGTGTGTACAATTGTATAGTGTACAATTTGTATTACAGGATTATTTCCCCAACATGAAGTATGCAAATAAAGCTTTTCAAAACAGGTCAATAGAATACAGATAAGAATGTTTTACAACAAATGAAATAGCCAATGTTTTAAAAGCAAACTTTTTTTTTTTTTTTTTATAAGAACTCCATTTCAAATGTTTATTTTAAATCTCAACTATTTCTAAGTT